TGCTTCTCACCTGTTTGACTATTGTATTATATTGTCTATCTTACATGAAAAACACACCTAGGCATGAGTGGAACACTGCACTGCATATGATATGAGTACAGACTTGTGGTTATGAACATGGCAAAGTCCATATTATATTTGTTTAATAAATTTTGTACTCAAGTGATTAAGGCTTGATTGTTGATCATCATTGCTTTTACGTGTTTTTCTTTAGGAAGTCAATTCCATTTGATATTTAATAATAATATTAAAATGTTGTGTCAATTTTTCCATGAAATATTTGGCCAGTGCGTGATATTTCTGTCACATGCTGATTGCTCTATAACTTGCTAATTGTTACAGCCAAGTAAAACTATAGTTTAAGGAGGTGTGTAAAGCGCTTTCTGAAATCATTTCTTGAAGAAACTCACTTTGAATATGATAGGTTCTCAACCACAAGCCCAAATATATAAGGCCCACTTAGATTCACATTATGTGGGAAAAGAGGAAAGAGTTAGTTAAGGAGAGAGAAAAAGAAAAAAAATAATGGAATATGTTATATAGGTAGGGAGGGTAGAAGGAAAGAAGTGTGCAAATTTGTATTTTCAATGGGGAGTCTAGAGTGTATACTCTGACTTGGGCAGAGAGAGAATTTCTTCTGAGGAGCTTTTGCTCTGGGATTACAAGGGTTTATCTTGTAATACTTCTTATATTTTCAAACAATTATATAGTTGTTCAGTTTACCTTAAATTGGGTTCCTAGCAGAATATTATTGTGAATTAATCAACTATTTGCACTATTATGTTTAAGTCTCTCTGTCATCAGATCTACTAAAAAATCTCGTTTGGGCCATGAGTCTTGTGAAATCTATTTAACTTAGGCTGCAATTGGTATTGCTCTTTTGATAATACTATTTGAACCATATTATCAAGTATAGTGTGAGAATAAACCAATCTGATGTTCTATTATTGTACAGCCGATAATTGATATGTCTTTATTCTATTATCTGCTCCTTATATAAGCAACATGATTTCTATTTTGGATACTAACAACAAATTTGTTCACTTATTTATCAGGGATTTGTCATCTCAGATTGGCAAGGCATTGACAGAATCACATCACCACCCGATTCAAATTACACATTCTCTGTCCAGTCTTCCATTGAAGCCGGTGTTGATATGGTTAGTCTTGTTATGCTGAAATTGCCTGTGAGACTGGTGTGAAAAGTTTTCTGCTGGAGTATAGCTCGTGAAATAATGTAATGTTTTCTCAAGTATAGGGTTATAGAACAAAGTCTTACTTTTTGTTGACTAATCATTACAGGTGATGGTTCCATACAAATATGATGAGTTCATTCAGGATCTTACCCTCTTGGTCAAGAGCAATATCATTCCAATGGAGCGTATTGATGATGCTGTAGAGAGAATTTTGCTTGTAAAGTTCACCATGGGTCTTTTTGAGAATCCTCTAGCTGATACCAGTTTAGTCAATGAGCTTGGAAGCCAGGTGAGTCATTCATACCATTTAGTTCAATCAGAATAATATAAAACAACATTTCCTTTGATGGAAAACTAATATGCTTGATGAAATTGTCTAACCAAGGGATATCTTCAGCCACATCGAATATAATCTTCCTTGCTTTCAAACCCATCTAACCATGTCCTATTGGTGAACTGAAGATCTCCCATTTGAGGTTGATTCTTTTCAACCCATCTCAGATGATTCAGCTTCCGCATGATAGATTCAGTGAATAACAGTTTTGTAACAAAATGAAATCTTCAAAGTTGAAATCTGCTTCTATTAGGAAACTAAAATGAATATATTTGCATTCTTTTTTAATATACCTTGTAGCATTGAAGTTATCTAGTGCCTGCACGTGTATTTTAAGGAAAAAAATTAGTATGTATTTTAATGGCATTCCTTGCCAATAATTTATAATATATACTAGCATAGTTGAGACATTAAGAGTCATGGGATAAAAGAATAAAACATTATGTTGTTTAACTAGGAACACAGGGACCTAGCAAGGGAAGCTGTGAGAAAAACTCTTGTGCTGCTTAAGAATGGGAAAAATGAAAGTGCTCCACTTCTGCCTCTTCCAAAGAAAGTCCCAAAACTCCTAGTTGCTGGTACACATGCCGATAATTTGGGTTACCAATGTGGTGGGTGGACAATCAAATGGCAAGGATTCACTGGCAACAGTGACACGAGAGGTTAGTGACACTTAGAAATTGATGACAAGCTGAGGTCTACACCTATGGAAGCATGAAATTCTCAGCTCTAGATGTAATGTTATTTATTTACTTTGGTGTATGAGAGTAGTAGTCAATAAGCATTGTCTGATTGAAGTTATCCAATTATATAATGTGTGAAGCAATGCAAAGGTATTAGTCATTGTTATAAATATTCACCAAGCTTGTGATGCATATTTTTTAATAATTAATAGCAGGTAGTTGCATGCATGTCAAATGAGCAGAAACTGTTGTGCTCAAGTCCTTTAGTTGCTATAATAATTTCTCAGTTACTTGAACCGGATAACCCTTAAATATTGCAAGTTCAATCCATAACTGCTGTGTACCTTTAATATGGACAAAAATAAGAGAATGAGAGGCAAAGATTTAGTAATACAAACATTCATCATAGCTTCGTAGGCACATGCACTCCATCCAAATGTAAAAATTTGCTTATGCTCTTTATTTCCTGGTTCAATTACCCCTGCCCCACCACCAAAATTAAAAAGAAAAAGTAATTAGAAATTGACAGACTTTCTTTTCCTTGGACAGGAACAACTATCCTCAGTGCCATAAAATCAACCGTTGATCCAAGCACAGAAGTTGTCTTTCGTGACAACCCTGATAGTGAGTTTGTTAAGTCCAACAACTTTGAATATGCCATTGTTGTTGTCGGTGAGCCTCCTTATGCTGAGACCGCTGGGGACAGCACGACACTTACAATGGTGGATCCTGGCCCAAATGTCATCAACAATGTCTGTGGGACGGTCAAGTGTGTGGTTGTTGTCATTTCTGGCAGACCTATTGTGATGGAACCATACGTTTCTTCTATAGATGCATTGGTGGCAGCATGGTTACCGGGCACCGAAGGCCAAGGGGTGACAGATGTCCTTTTTGGCGACTATGGTTTCACCGGTAAGCTTGCGAGGACATGGTTCAAATCTGTAGATCAACTCCCAATGAATTTTGGAGATCCTCATTATGACCCCCTTTTTCCTTTTGGTTTTGGACTAACAACTGAATCCGTCAAGGACCTGGTAGCAAGGTAATTTTCATTTAAATTATGAAAGCTTTTTACATGGTAATTTTTACAATGCCACCAGTCATTCACGACTTTTCATTTGACAAGAGTTGACTGATGGAAACATCCATTGTGCAGGTCAACCTCAGCTGCTGTTAATGTAAGGGCTTGTGTGTTTACCATTATGATCACACTAATCATCGGCTTATATTTATCGGGTATGTTGGTGATTGTGACCTTAGGCATAAAGTTCATTATTTTTTTCAAGTGACAAACTAAATAAACTCACTGTATAGAATACTAATACTAATGATTTTTTTCACTTTGATAGGTTAAGCACAAATTATGGGAGTTTGTTGGAGCAGGTGGCTAGAGAACTAGGGATACTTCCTGGCTTAGTCTTATTCTAGTCTAATTCATTGTATTGGGACATTATTATTGTTCTCAGAACTAGTAATTGGAGCACATTCTTTTTCATAATCAAACTTGTTCTAAGGAAATATCAGAAATTAAGTATTAAATCTACTAGGCGTTGAGTAGATTTTAATTTGTGTTGGGTAAAGAGAGGGAGGATGTTTGAACACCGGCTTCTCTACTCGTACCATCGGCATTAAAATTGAAATCCACATCTTTGTATATAGCCCAAATCCATCTAAATTAGTGCCAAATGCTGCAAGCCATGGCATGGTTCCATTGTCTATCTTGCTTTCCTTCTTTTTGAAGTAAACTTAGATTATGTTTTTTACATTCTTGTCATTAAGTTCGCCAATTAAATGGTATGTGGGTATTTATTTAGAATTCTGTAATACATGTTTAATGTGAGATATTTATTATTGAAAAGAGCATCCATGTATCATCATTTAAATGGAGAACATGATGATAAGGATGTAAAACATTTGATTAAAGTTTTGCCTGTTCTTTGGTACATCAATAATTTCTTTATTCCATCTTTTGTTTCCTATGAAAATTGGAGTTTCGGTATTGGTTACGAGCGAAGCTGTTGGCAGAGTTTAATTTAATCAACTCAAATGAACATATTACCTAAGAAGTTTATTGTACCTCTTTATATTGGGAGGTTTTGTTAGAGTTCTCGCCGTATGACAACAGCTTCCTAGTTTTCATAAGGTTTCGCTTTTACTTACCACTACGTTGTCTCGTTTATACACGATTCATTTGTTAGCCTGTAAATCTTTGATGTACATTAAGCAGTACAAAATTAGAGACGTGGGAAAAAAATTGAGATAGCACTTAATTACGAACTATTTTTGCTAAATATTTAATATAAGTTATTGGAAGCGTGACAATTAAGTGGAAATGATAATCATCAGATGCATCGCATGACAGTGAATAAATGATTTGTTAGAATGCCTTTATATGTAATTCTTCGAAGTTTTATGCATTGTTCGTAATGAGTGAAAGAGAAAGGAAAGAAGGCATATACATTTTTCAATATTCGTATACAAGAACGGGATTAGGATGTCCAAGAACCCAATGCCACTTATACAGAAGCTGATATCCTTCCACTAATTCGTATTTTCAATATTTTTGTAAAACGTGTCATTTTAAAGACCAGATTCAAGTCAAGGACTCCGTTAAGTCTCTACATCATGGCTCTTAAAAATGACAGATCAAATCAGAAACTTATAATGTTTAGAAAATAAATAAATTGAATAATTGATATTTTAAAGGAATAAAAAGTAAACAAAACAATACTAAATAGACAAAATAAATAAATAAAAAAGACTCTGGAATAACATAGAAAATGAAAAAAAAAAAAAAATCCGATGACAATTATATAATTTTAAAAATGGGGAATCATATGAGAAGCCCATAATGTAGTATAATGAGGTTCTTCCTAGTACACTGCTTTGAAATTCAGAGTTCTTACAACTTCTTGAGTTCAAGGCCATCATCGTACAGAAACAAAATGAAAAAAAAAAATGAAAAAAAAAAAGATAAATATATTATCAATGTATGGTCAAAAACTAAGTTTCGATATGCTCCAATCATTAAAAAGGAATAGGGGCAGGTGCATATGGACAAATTGCCAATTTACAAAACGAACATAATATTTGAAGTGATTCAGTGGGGAGTTCAATTCACAACTTGCCTTGTCGTTCGTATGCATCCCCGAGGAACATACTTTTAGCCTCCCACAGAAAGCTGCACACTCCTTCTCGTGGACTCACAAATATTGCACTCCAGAACAGTAAGTGGAATTACTTTCCACGTTTTCAAGTGCGTCAATTTTTACCTTCCTTTCCATCTTATAGCCCAGTGTTCACAAGCAGAGCATGGCAATATTAATATTTTGCCTGTGTAAGATGCCTGCACGAATGAGCTCTCCACTCTTCGGTTCTTGCACCCTTTCTCTGGCAAGCATCCATGGTGGGAAGGTGATAGATAATATCAACCTGAAAAGAGAAAAAAGGGCGTATGGAACATCAAACAGATTCAAAGAAGTGCCAAGTGTAACATTTTGGCAATGATTAATTCCAAAACTTGACATTCTAAACAAAGAAAGACAACAGGAGTATAAGCAGTAGAGTGAAACAGATATTTCAACAAGGAAATGCTGCTAACATGACAGGCATATGATAAAGTCACTAACAGGTAGGTAAGTTGACAAGAAAACTGGAAAACCAATGCTAAATGTGAAAGAGGCAGGAGAGCATTAATTCAGAACCCAATGCAGCAAGGGGAATTAAGTCTCACTTTATTAATGCAGGATGCATGCAGGCCGATTTTTTAAAAATCTCAACATGCATTATCAATTTAAATATATTAATGGATATTGGATTAAAAAGTGTTATCCACCAAAAAACCAAATTAAAATATAGAATGAGATGGGCTTGATACTGCTGGATCAAAGAAGAAGGAAAGGCTAGTGAATAGTTAGTTGAGACCAAGTAGTAAAACGGACGGACACAAGTTCATTTGAAGTGTTCAAGCTTGATTTATAATGCATGGGGTTCAGGAATCCATTGTACAGCATCAACCACAACAGCATACTAGAATCCATGTAGCCAATCCCTCTCAGTGTGACTAAGATTTGGATGTTGTCCGGTGCCTTGGTGGCAGTTGTGTTAGTAACTACTGTTTATAAGAAATGACGAGAACATATGCCAGAAATATTATCTTTAGTGGGTACACAACTAAAGTATCATCCCTCTAAGAGCATGTTTGGAATAGCTTTGTTAAAGGGAAATAATTACTTATTTTTCAAAAGCTCTCGAGAGGTTGGGAAACTGAACCAAACATACACTAACTATTACTGCACTGTGCTAACTGCTCAAGAAAGTTGTGGCATCGTCTGAAATACAGTGCAAACAATCATTACCAGTAGCGCTGTGACAGCAGTAGCTAAAAAGATTGTGATCATGTATGGTTTCCCACCTAAAGATAGGTTAATACCAATTGTGCAGGCAGGGGAGGGGATCAGGGAACTAAATGAACCTACATCTAAAATTCTCAATGAGTTCAAATCTCTTGAAAGATCCTATTCAAAGGCCACATTCAAAAATAGTATTGCTTAGTGAGGGCAAATTATAAAACCTTTATGAGCTACATTTGTGCTGCATTCATCCTTCCATCATTTTCTTCCTCCTCTTTGTTTATGTGGTCCTGGTCATCCTGGTTTGAGCCAACTAACAAATGCTGATTTCCTACAACACTTTCATTGCTCTTTACTAATGAGAATTGGTCCATAGGAAGAGAGTTCCTTTTGTAATTCCAAACAAGCATTGAAATGTAGTCTTGAGGTGAAACAAGACCTTGTTCTCTGATGCAACTCTTCTGCTCCTCCAGAGTCTTTGGATCTTCCAGTTTTATGTATTCTAGCAAGAACTTTTCATGGTCAGGCATCCAGTTACTAGGGAATGGTGAGTAATCTGTCTCAGGTACAAGAGACATCCTTGTATACTGGAGACCATCTATCGACTCAGCAAGACCCATCCTCAACAAATTCTGGTACTCAGGAGACTGCCCTTTTTTCTCCTTTAACGGACGGCTCAGGTTACGAGCACCAATCTTGTACACTTTTGCACGTGACCGAAGCTTATATTTTGCAGCATACAGCTTAGCAAGGGAGCCTCTAATGATATAAGAGCAAAAGTTCACAATCTTCTTCCTATTGTCCGCATATCTGTACCACTCAACCATGGTTGATAAAAACTTATTCATCTGAGCATTGGTATGAGCCTGTGTGGCATGAAACATCCTAAAACAAGGCTGGGGATCCGGATCCCTATCCCCCTTGAGAAAACTCAACTTCCTAAACTGCTTAATACATTGTTTCAAACTCGCTGTCACCGACAGCAGCGTCCCCACACCCTTCTCACTTATAATCTTACCACCCGTTGCAGTGTACCTAAGAGTCGGATACACAACCCTCCTACACAACACATGGTCCAAAAACATGATCCCTTTGGTTATATGCTCAATAGGCAGACTCTCATTATCAAGCTTGAGCATAAACCTCTGATCACAAAACTCAATCAACTGCTTCCTCAACGTGGCCGCATCCGCCCTAGGCCCTCTAACCCCAACCAAAACATGACCTCCATACCTCACGAAATCCATCTTCCTCGTCTTATCCGGCCCACTCGTGGGCACGAACTCCGGCCACGAGGTGTTCCCCTGCTCCTCTTCAGGACTATTCCATATAACATCACTCTTGGAAGGAACATAAAACTCCTTAATCTTCCCCTCCATCCACCTATCCAACTCATCCAAGCAAACATTAGCCAAAAGGGGACTAAGCACACCACAATGCCCCCAATTGGGAACCCTGAGAGCCTCCTCGGGCGCAAAGCCGAAGAAAGTGTCCAACCAATAAGGATCAGGCTTAGGCTCATCCTCAGCCAACACCCTCTTCTTCTGATACTTCCTCTTCTTCTTCTTCTCCTTCTTCTCAACATCACTGGTAACAACCGGCGTAACCAAAGCGTCTTTTATCAAATCAACAACTAACTTATCCCTAACATCTCTCATAACAGAATTAATCACTAACCCTACTTTCATCCCGTCCAACAGAACACTAAAATCAGCCTTTATATACCATAAGTAACCAGCGAAGTTTCTTCTAATAACCCTTAACACAGTGTGGGGGGTTCTACCGGGTCTGAAGGCGTAGGATTTGGGGGAAAATCGAGGCTCGTAGATGGGCTCGAGGATCATCAAGAGAACCTCCTGAACGATTTTGTCTTGGAAGGGCGCGGGTTGCGTGGTGGTGAGAATGGTTTTGATCTTGCGCTTGGAGAGGGAATCGTAATCGGTTTTGTCGCGAGGGGATTTGATGAAGTGCTTGAGGCGGGAGCCCCATTTGAAGTTGCCGTCGAGGACGGCGTTGCGGAGGGCGAGGAGGTCCTGGAGGGTGGCGGTGGGGATGGTGGAGCGGGGGGTGTAGGAGCCGGTTTCGTCGGTGGCGACCTTCTGGTAGGCGAGGAGCCAGAGGTCGAAGCGGCGGAGGAGGGGGGAGAGGGAGGTGACGGCGCGGTCGCGGTGGCGGAAGTTGTCGATCCACATGTGGCAGCAGAGGGCCACGCCGTCCTCCTTCGCGGAGAGGGAGGAGGAGTAGCGGCGGGGGGAGGGGGGGGGAGAGGGAGGGAGCGGCGCGGTCGCGGGGGCGGAAGTTGTCGATCCACATGTGGCAGCAGAGGGCCACGCCGTCCTCCTTCGCGGAGAGGGAGGAGGAGTGGCGGCGAGGGGAGGAGGGGGGTGGGTGCAGGGTAAGGACGGTGGGGAGTGCGCGTAGGGGATTGGGGGGTTTGGAGAGGAGGTGAGTGAAGAGGCTGAGGCGTCGACGCATTTCGGAGTTTGGGGTCAGCTCAGGGCATTCGAAGAACAAAACCCAACAAAAACCCTCTCTCAGTCACTATGTTTTCCACCATATTTTTATTTATTTATTAGTAAGTGATTTAGTGGAAATTTGATGAACTTATTTTCAAAAGCAAAAATGGAGTTCAAATGCTTACTTTCATTTCCAAAACAAATATTTTTTTATCTTATTATTATCATCATTATTATTGAAATGATCATTTATATTATATGAGTAACTTATCTAATTTTATTATAAAAAATTTTAGGACCAATGATTAGATCATGCAAACTAAAAATGTTTTTTCTTGGATAAAGGAAGAGATTACTCGATCCATTTACATATCAATCATGATATATATAATAATTCGAACACTCATTTTAAATGCATATTCTATTTTTGTATAACAGAATTATGAAAGTCCACGAGGAGCAACCGATCGTATTGTCTATGCGTGACAACCATAATCTTTGTTATTGTCATTATTACTTTTATTGATACCGAAATCATTATCATTGTACTACAATAACTAGTGGCATCAACATTACTATTACCAATATTATTATTATTATCGATATTATTATTATTGTCATTACTGTTAACATTATTCAAATTTAAGCTTCCAAATACATGCTAATGTTTAAAAGTACTTTGAAGTACCAAAAGTACCAAATGAGTTAAGTTTACTACAAATAAAAATATTTAGACACAACCACTTCAAGTATCATCAATTCACGATCACCAAATTTTCTAATGTATTGTTTGAATGTGATATTTTACTATTTGAAACTCTCACTTATTTGATGCACTCCTTAATTTAATCTAAAACTTTAATGATTACCTTTAATTTTTTTTATAACTTATTTAAATAACTAAAACTTGGTGTAAAAAATAAGAGTATGACAAAAATTGATATTATTAATTAACTTTCAACTTGTGTTAATAAAATGAATTGAGAAACTTATATAATTTATGGGATTACTAAATGTCAATACTGTTGAAGATATCTTACTAAGAATAAAAGTTGTATTTTCTTTAAACTTTGTTTTTTTCTCATATATCTAAAGACATCACAATAATATCTATTATGAATTTCATATGTTTCTTGTTATTTTATAATGAAAAAATATTTTTAAAATTTATTAACAATTATTTTTTATCATACATTTTAGACTTTCCATCTTCATCTTCAACTAATTTAACATTAAATTCATGTTTTATAAGTGTTTTGAGTTTATGATTTAAAAACTCATAGTTGAATTTAAAATTTTTGTTTCAATCCATAGAGTATAAGATGTAAACATTAAATGACAATAGTTACCATCTAAATTTAACATTAACGTGAAAGCATATTTTCATTTTTTATTTTTTTTTGTGGTTGATATCGAAATTTTTTCTTTTAAAAAAATAATGAAGTATTTTGACATTGGTGTATTACAATTTAATGATGATTATTCCAGGTGATTTTTTTTTTCACAATAGCAATAAATTTGGTACGTTGATGGAATAAAAAAACAACAACATAAATGAATCAAAATAAGAGAGTGAAAGTCACATAAAATACCTCTAAGTCCAAAGCATAGATAACTATTCTTACTGAAGCACCAAAGTAAATAAAGCACCAAGCCACCAATGACCTACAACTTGGGTACAATAACAACATTCAACAATCTTAGCTTCAAGTTATGTAAGATTACAAAAATAAAGGAAGATAGAAAAGAAAAAAAGTCCAAGCAAAGACTAATTTTGATTTTGAAGATATTTTATCTTTTTTACTAAACATATTTGGTTTAATTTTTGTTGAATAATATAAGCATGAGTAGTGGATGTAAGCCATAAAATAAATTAATAGAAAAATAAACAAAGCAATCAAAATTAGGTCGATAGATTGAAAATATATATATATATATTTTTTAAGTTTGTAGTGCAGTGAATAAAAAGTCAAAGAATTGATTAATTATAACTTGTAGTAGATAAAATCATAATCTTTAAGTACAAGGTCAACACCAATAGGGCAATGCTAAATGGTTAAGAGACCATGTTATTAGTAGGTAAAGTTTAGTTACATAGGGTTGTTTATGTTTGAAACCCAAAAAATAAAGAATAAGTAACAATGTAAACACGTTTAAAAAATAATAATAACCTATTGTATCAACATGCTTGCTCACTTTTAAAAAAATGTTAAATTCACAAAATACTCTATTAACAATCACAAAACAAAAGTATTTTAGAGATTTCATGAGCTTTTAATATCATGGGTGCAAAATCACTATAGGATCAATATCACGTTTACTTTGTCTATTTTACTAGATTGAGGTGCAACAATTTTTAAATAGCAACATGTACTTGCTCTATATGGCTAAAAGTCACATTTGACTACTATGGTTACTAAAGAAAAAAAATGTTTACTGGCAAATAGATGGTGCACTATTGAAACAAAAAACATCAAACAAAACATAAAGACTCTGAAAAATCTTTGAAGTGTTAAATAAATTACACACCAACACAATTATTGGGCATTAAATGTAGAGTTAAAAGATAGATACTTAGGTAGACAACAAAACTTGATTAATTGATAATTTATACAAATTGTAAAGATTCCAAAATTCACATGGTAAGGCAAAGATAATAAAGGGAAAAAAATTGTGAGATAAAGGCTCATCATGTAATAGTAGAAGAAAACTAAACAAACTTTTAAACAAAAATAAAATGGTTTCTCTCTCTTGTCTAAAGTATAGCCTATAAATATTTTTTATATATAAAAAATAACTTTATGGGTCAACTCGTTTTACCCATTTCCAACCTACTAAGTTGGTAGGTTATGCAAGGTTGGTGGCTTAATCATCTAAACCATCTCAACTTTCATTATAACTTATACAAATTAATTTATTGTGTTTAAACTCGTTACATTCTTGTCAAGACATAATAATACAAAACACTTTGTATTCTTTATCACTTATGCCTATCTAGGTATAATTTAGTGTCATCATGTTTTTATTTAAAAATAGTTTTACAAGTTTCTTTTTTTTTAAGTAACATGAAATATAATAATTTGGTCTCATTGTGTCAAAATAAGGAACAAAACACACTTGTTAATTATTAATAGGAAAAGGCATTATGTTTCTCTGTTTATATAAAAAAAATTAAGAGTGATTAATTAGAGTTTTACATAGAAGTAAAAAATAATAATAACAATTTAATAAAATGATAGTAATACAAAGGGGTTTATAGGTAGTTATTAAAAGAAAAAAATAGTTCAAGAGGTTGTGTATAAAAAACAACATGTTATCTTTATATATTATTATAATTATAGTGAACATAACAATTAAAAATAATAAAAAAATAAGTAAATGTTTAATTTTATGGGCACGTTTTATATGTGAATTAAATTTCTAATGCCACACATGGATATTTAAAGCATTAGAGAAGATTTATTTCAAAAGAAAAACATGTCTTTCAAATGAAATAGATGATTATCATGTGAAGAAAAAAATACTCTTATAAATATACTTTTTCGTGATTCATAAAAAATATCTTCTATAATTTAAAATAATTATCAAATTTGTGAGAGTTTTATTCTCCTTACTTTCTCATGTTTAGATTTTCTTCTAATAGACAAAGGTGGATGTAAAAAGATATGAGTAACCTGTAAATTCAAATTGATCTAAACTTGCTAAAATGAGTTTAGAACAAAATTTTGTGTGTTTAGGTTAAACCCGACTCGACTTGTTTAAAAATTTGACACTATATAAATCGAATAATAAATTTTGTATTTTTTTATTTTGTAATTTGACATAGTCATATATAATAACAGAATATAATAATAATTTAATGTGATTACTTGTTCAGTACAATATTCACTATTACTCTTGCTCTATAATAGGTTTTATGTTTTTGGATTAATAGTATTGTAACAATATAATATATTTATTTTAAATTTTATTTTATACTAATGTTGTTTATTTGAGGTGTGATATTAATGCAGCAAATCCACAAAATTATTTTAAATTTTAGTTCATACCATTATTTGTTTTATGGATTGATAATGTTGTATTTGCAGCAACATATAAAATTATTTACATTTATTATAAAACATTTAAATTCTTATAAAAAATAAATTTAATTATGTTGACTCGATTGACCTAGTCAAATTCAATCTATTGGCATTCATGATTAGCTTAGATTAGGTTGAATTTTAAAAAACGAGGCATAACTCAATACAATTAAACTCGTTAAATTTTGATCAAGTAGACTAGTAAATTCATTCAAACATAACTAAAATCAATCTGTTTATGTAACACCTTAAATACACTAGAAAAAAGAAGAATCAAATGATCTATATAGGTGAGAGACTATGTGATGACTTAAAAAAATTAATTTGTATTAAATATATAAACAATGTGCATTTATTTATTTGGTAACTCATTACATAAGAATTTTATGGTTAATTGTGTTTGACTTTGAACAATTTAGGAATATGTAACATTTTGAAAAGTTTATAATTTGAATAATCTTGTATTTTTATGGGAACAATTCTTAAAGATGGTCTAACATTTCAAAAATGACAACCTATAAAGAGTTTTGAGTGATAAATGGTTATAACCAACGAGAGACTATATGAAATGTCACTTCACAGAATAAAGTCATTGAGACGTTATCTTTAAAGGATGTCATGACTTACAAGTTACACCCCTAAAAAGTTGGACTATATTATCTTTCTATGCAAATATTATTTAAACAAAAATTCTCATAAAATTACCTTTTCCTACTAATTTAGATTTCTTCATCTCTTTTCTATTTTCTTTATCTTTTCACTGATTTCTCCATCTATTTTCTGACTCAAATTATTATGTCTTTCTCATTTTAATTCTCATAGGAGTTCTCTTCGACAATAAATTAATTTTACCTCTTTTACTTTTTACACTAATTTAAATTCATTATCTCCTACCTAATCTTAATATACTTCATAATCTTGTGACAACATTAATTATGTCTTGAAATATTTCGAAACAATATATATATATATATATATATATATATATATATATATTATTTTAATTATTTAAATATATTATATCGACAATTAATATATTTAGGTCTATTAATTGTTATTCTATTGATAAATTTATTTAATTTGGTTGCGATCATATATATTACATTATTACCATGATTTATTTGTTACAATGTCATTTTTTTTTTGTTACAAACATTATTACCTTGATTATGTGATGTGAATAATTTTCTCATTTTAATTATAAATAATTATAATATTAAATTTTACATATTAAATTTAACACTCTAATGTATATAAACTAATTAACTAAGATACTAATAAATCTTACGAGCACGTATATAGTTTTAAGAGCAAAATATAATTCTTATTAATCATATTTAACAGAATATAAAATGTACTTATATAAAACATCGTGATTTTTTCTCTACCTGCTTATTAACGAGGAAGAATAGATAATAAAGTACTTGTATCTGTATATACTTTTATTATAAAAATACTAAAATACTTATATTAATATGTAAAGCACATTGCTTTAATTTATTTTTAAAATACATATTTAAAACAATTTGTTTATAGTCAAAATATGTTTTAAAATTATATATTTCAGTGAAAATATATGTTTCAGAACTATTTACTCGTAATTTATTTTTGTTTATATTTACAAATTCATATTTTAATAAATGAAGACACGTGCTTATAAATATCTGCATATACCCGTACTAATATGAGGTAGTTATAAAATGAATTTTCTTTTAACATTTAACAAAATAATGAAAAGATTACGACCGTGCCACCTCGCTCCATTATCATCAATTGAAAGCTTATGTTTTTTAATTCAATATTGATATTTTTGTATAAAATTAATAATAAAGAAACTCATTTCAATGTGCAATCATATTATAATAAGTATTATATGTATTAACAGTATGAGATGATTTTATATTCATTTAATCACAAATCTCAATATGTAGTAATTATTGTATTAAGGAATAGAAATAAAAAAATGTAAATTTAAGTTATAGTTGTCGCAACCCAAAAAATTATGGTTTTTGCGACTCATAAATTAGATATGAGATCAAAAATCTCATCGATTAATGGGAACCAGATTAATCTTTAATTAATAATTTTTGAAAAGAGGTTCTTAGGAGTCGCCACTAATGTTTTGCTCAAAACATTGAAAAAAGAAAAAAAAAATTAAAAAATCCAATCATGGCCTCAATAATCAAAATTAGGTTCGGGAGTCGGTTACGTGTGGGGAAGGTATTAAGCACCCCCACGACGCCCTTAATTGGTACCCTCGTGATGAAATTAACATAATAAGAATTAACAAATTAAATATTTAATTTCCTTTATTAATGGTTATTCACATGTTTGAAATTTAAATTACGCGGTTGCTCTTAAGATGTCTACATGGTTGTTTTTAGCATGACAATACCTATTAAAGATGAGAAATAAATTTTTTTTTATTAAAATACCTCCTAAACAAGTTGTATTGAACCTTCAAATATGAAGATAGGTGCTTTTTGGCAACCTTTCACACTACAAAAATGTCTCACAGATCTCAAGAAATACAAAGAGAGAGAGATTTTTTTTTTGAGATTTATGGAATTCCAGGTGAATTTTTCCGACCCCGAGAATTATGCTTGAGATTGCTATTTATAAACATCAAAAGTGAGTCAAGTGACCAGAAAGACCCGTTCTAGATCTGGAACAGCCCATTCTAGATCCCTTTGTTATGTGCTAAATTCGTATCTAGAATGACTTGTTCTTAAACCAGAACGGCTCGTTCTAGGGTTGAGTTTAACACATAACTGTCTATGTTGGAACGACCTGTTCTAGACTAGGGTTTTAGGCCCTTTTTGGTAGTCTGAAATGGCCCGTTCTAGTTTAAGAACAAGCCGTTCCAACTTGAAAAGAGTATGTTCCTGTTTGGGAACGGGCAGTTCTGGCTTGGGAACAACTCGTTCTGGGTTACTAAATCAACTTTGTTGGGTTTTAGGCCTTCTAATGTCGTACCCTGTCATTTTCATGCTTGAGAACTCCTATTTTTCTCAAAATAGAAGTCCATGCTTAAGGTTCGGATGAAATTAGGTGTCTACAATAATCAATGATAATACTTAATAGCTTTATGACCATTTAAAGAGGTATATGCATATCTTATTTTATTTTAACCATTTAAAAATAACTATTCGTTTATATTAATAAATTTTTATTTATAAATTATTTTAGTTTATTAAATTAACTAACTATATACACACACACACACACACACACACACACACATATATATATATATATATATATATATATATGTACACACACTCACATTACTAAAAAAGTAAAATAATTATTATAGAGATTGATAATAAACACTTTCTGTTGACTTAAAGTTATGATTTAACACTTATATTTGATGAACTACTTAAGCATAAAATTAGGACTCCTAAATGAGTCATGAGAGGGAATTATCAAAACAAAAATAAAAAGGATTTGTAGAACTTTTTTTTTTTTTTGTCTTGTAGCTTTGACTTTTCCTGGATGTGAAAGCTTTGCCTTTTTCTCATATTGTTGTTTTTTTTGCTGCTTATCTCCTTTGTATCTTATGCATGCATGTATTTGAAATAGACATATATGTGAGCTCATAAAAGATAATATCATAGATATAAAAGATAATATCATAGATAAGATATGCCTTTTGGGGTACAAATACTGAGAGAAATATACAATACAAAATAGAAATATCTTATCGCTAGCCTAACTCTTGGTAGGAGGATCTGGGAATCGCCTTTGAAGCCAAGCCATCATCTGCTCGTGCCACTGCTGCTGCTGATGATGCTGCTGGCGCATCTCCTCCTGCATACTAGTGAAACGGCTGTCGAGGCTAGCCATCTGCTTGCGGAGGGCCTCAATATCTGCCCTTACATGCAATAGTGGGTGTGTGGGCTGCTCTGACTGCGACTGAGGCTGAGTTGTCTGCTGCTGCTGTGGCTGCATCTCTGTCATGTCGTCAAATATTATGTCATCGTAATTGAGCTCCTCTACGACTGCGTACCCTCCGGGAGTGAGCTCGATGACGCCCATGGATCTGAGGATGAGTGCATCAATGGGGCGAGGGTCCGGGCCAGTCTCTGAGTCAACGTCGACAACTCTATAGTGCTCAGCGACTCGGGCGAGCATCGATCCAACCACTATATATCCTTGTCTTCTCACTGGACCTTATCTCTCTCCATAGTCCTCCACATGGCGAAGAAAGAAAGCTCCGGGATTGCATTGAATCCCCTGGGTCATGCAATATAGAGGAAAAAGATCCCTCTGTGTGACAGAACCTACGCTTTGGTATCGTCCATGGATGGTCCCCGTCATCAACTTGTGGACCACACGGAGTGCTGGGTCTCTGATCCTTGAAGCTTGGGCGGTCCTTGGCATGCCCGCCTCGCCGGTGAGCTCCTGCCACATATCGTCTATGGAGATCTCGGAATAGGGGAAGAGGAGCATCTCTGAGTACTCCGGGGTCGCCAGCAGCTCCTCCGGGACAAAACCGGCTATCCGGTTGAACTCGGCTAACGTGATGTTATGGCGAACTCCACCTATCCAAAATAGGACCATCTGTACGTTTGGCCCCTCTGGTGCTGTGACCGTATACATCCTAGCGGATGCCAAGAAGTCAATCGTGGCGACTCGATAAGCTCGACCGAGTGGCTCCAAGAGAAACTCCCATCCAATAGCCGCTAAATAGTCCCGGACCTTATCCAAGAGGCCTACCTGCTCGAGGATGGGGAGGTCAATCTGTCGTGCAAACTCGAACTCAAAGTTGTTCAGACGGTGTCTCCGTCTGAGTTGCGCGTCACTCATGATGGGTGGTCCGGGAACCGGCGGTGATGGTTGTGCGACTGGCCGCTGCGGTTGGGATAATATGCGAAGCCTCTTGCCTCGGCCGTGGGAAGAACTACCTCTATGCATGATAATGAATGAAAAACGCCAAAAATGCTCTAGAGAAAGTGAGGGGGTTTTGGGGAAGTCAATGAAGATTTTGAGGAGGAATGACCCTTTTTATAGGCATCAGAGGCGGAACGGCCCGTTCTGGAATCGGAACGGCCCGTTCTCCTTCTGGAACGGCCCGTTCTGGAATCAGAACAGGCCGTTCTCCCACTGGTACAGGCCGTTCTGATACCAGAACGGCCCGTTCTCCAACTGGAACGGATCGTTCTGGAAGGAGTACGGCCCGTTCTGCTATTCGCTGCAAGTGGAACGCCCTGTTCTCCTTATAGAACGCCCCGTTCTGGATTAGTTTTATTCGGAACGGGCTGTTCCGGATTAGAACCACCGTTCCGATTTCTGGCTTTTTGTTCCCGTCCAGAACGGGCCCTATTTTTATTTTTATTTTTATTTTTATTTTTATTTTTATTTTTATTTTTATTTTTATTTTTATTTTTATTTTTATTTTTATTTTTATTTTTATTTTTATTTTTATTTTTATTTTTATTTTTATTTTTATTTTTATTTTTATTTTTATTTTTATTTTTATTTTTATTTTTATTTTTATTTTTATTTTTATTTTTATTTTTATTTTTATTTTTATTTTTATTTTTATTTTTATTTTTATTTTTATTTTTATTTTTATTTTTATTTTTATTTTTATTTTTATTTTTATTTTTATTTTTATTTTTATTTTTATTTTTATTTTTATTTTTATTTTTATTTTTATTTTTATTTTTATTTTTATTTTTATTTTTATTTTTATTTTTATTTTTATTTTTATTTTTATTTTTATTTTTATTTTTATTTTTATTTTTATTTTTATTTTTATTTTTATTTTTATTTTTATTTTTATTTTTATTTTTATTTTTATTTTTATTTTTATTTTTATTTTTATTTTTATTTTTATTTTTATTTTTATTTTTATTTTTATTTTTATTTTTATTTTTATTTTTATTTTTATTTTTATTCTTATTCTTATTCTTATTCTTATTCTTATTCTTATTCTTATTCTTATTTTTATTTTTATTCTTATTCTTATTTTTATTTTTACTTTTATTTTTATTTTATTTTTATTTTTATTTTTTATACCCTTTTGTGCATCCTTGTGCCATATGCATGTTATGCACTGTTATTTCTATGCTGATGCTTAAAATGCAAATTTTATGCGCATTTATTATCAGTGTGGATTGTTAGCATTTAGCTATGTCAGATTCATTCCGAGTGTGGATTCAAAAATTAGAATGAGTCGTTCCAAACTATTAAAAAAAATGTGATTTAGTAACCTATAATAGGTCATTTCCAAATTGGAACATGCCGTTCCAGATTACTAAATAAGCCTGTAAATCCTAGTTGAGAACCGACCATTCCAAACATAGTTATTGTGAGTTAAATTCAACTCCAGAACGGATCGTTCTAGTTTAAGAACGGGCCGTTCTAGACGTGTCAAAATGGATCGTTCTGCATTTGAATTTTACACATGACGAAGGAGCTTAGACATTCCGGATTCAAAACAGGCGATTCTAGTCACTCCTGACCTCTATAAATAGGAGTTGAGGAGGGGGAGAAAAGGGAACTTAGAGAGAGGTTTTAGAGAGAAGTTTTATAGAGAAAGACTCTAGGCCAGGAAGCTTGCTTTTGGAAGATTGAGGTTCTGAGGTTGAGCTTCAGAAGAAAATTTCGCTTTTTCTCAGCTCTTGGCAAAGCTGAGCCAATCTTCAGGTTACGGAAGCTTCATACATTTTTTTCCTTGAAATGGTTGAGTTGTTGGGTGCGGATTGAGTTAAAATGTTAGGTTTTGTTGTTTGAAAGAAAAAGAGATGATTAATTTAAATTAGTGGTTGCATGTAGCTGTTCTTGTGTTTTAGAAGTTGTTTATAATTAACGTGGTTAAGTTGCTAAGTTGCCTGATGAAGATGAGATGAGTAGTTGTTGACTTATGTTGTTTATATGTTGTGTGTTGATAATATGTGATATGTTGTTAAAGTTGCTATATGTTGTGTATTTGGTGAAACTAAGTTGTTTTTATGTTGTTTATTGTTGAATTATTAATAAGTTGAGATGTATAAGTTGAAGTAGTTCATTGTTGTAAAGTTGATATTGTGTTGACTATAGTTGCTCTAGTTGTTTAATTAAGTAGGATAAAGATGCTTATTGCTGTAAAGTTGAAAGTTGCCTTAAAGTTGTTATGATGTCTATTATTGTAAAGTTGTTATGATGCCTATTGTTATAAAGTTGTTATGATGCCTATAGTTGTAAAGTTGTTATGATGCCTATTGTTGTAAAGTTATTATGATGCCTATTGTTGTAAAGTTTTTATGATGCCTATAGTTGTAAAGTTGTTATGATGTCTATTGTTGTAAAGTTGTTATGATGCCTATAGTTGTAAAGGTGTAAAGTTGTAAAGTTGTCTATTGTCGTAAAGTTGTAAAGCTGCCTATTGTTGTAAAGTTGAAAAGTTGGGGACATATGGTGAAGATATATGTCCTATGTTGAGATACATAGTATTAAGGTGATAAGTTGAAAGTTGTTTTAAACTTGAATCCCTTAGTACTGTGTGGACGACATGGAAGTAGTCGATCCATGTCATGGTTGAATAACCAAATTGAGTAAGATATCTAGTTAAAGATGTAGTCTTTGACTATGTATTGGAGGGTGCATGGTACTTGGAGGGCTGTAGGTGGACTAATCCATATGTGAATTGGTTATGCAAACCAAGGTCGTGGTAGGTTTATACCCAAACCCTTCTGCCCTGACAGTAGTACTGGACCTCCAAGTCTAAGTGAGCAACTGCCTATTGTTGTCTATACCTGGTTCTCTTCAAAGTTCCTAACGATGCCCTATACTTGACCTGGTTAAGATAGGTCAAATGTAGATTCGGTAGGGTTTATGCCACCTAAACTGCTCAACCTCTGTTGTTAGAAATCTCCTAGTTGTATATGCGTGACGAGCATTAGTTGATGTTGCATATGTTGTTGCATTCAAGTTGTGTATAATGTTGTATGAATGAGTTGATAGTTGAGCTATTGTGATAAATACAATGTGATTGTGTTGTGATGAGTTATTGATCACTAGGACTAGAGGAGAAGTTTTCAAAGTTGCTCATCTCATTGTGCGGATTGAGATTTGAGATAGTTGTAGTGCTATGAGAGCCCAATTTGTTTAAAAACCCTCCTTGGAATGTTGTCCCTTGGAGTGGATGATTTGTTGTTCTCCTTTAGGACTTTGTTGGTCCTGTGTGTGGGCAAGGTCGAGGCACACGTGCATGAAGTGACCAAGGTATAGGGATCAGGCCGAGCTATAATGATTATAAGCGGCCAATTTGAGTAAAGTGCAATGTGTTGAAAGTGTTGTTGATGTTGTATATCTATTGTTGTAGGTGTTGTGTTGCTTTAAGTTGCAAGTTGAAAGTAAAATTTTATTGTTGTTTATTATATGTTGATGCTATTTTTTTATGATTATTGTTGTGAGTTTACCCTAACATGTTTTCCCTTGTGGTTGGGACTGCGATGACCATAACTTGGTATGCGAGCAGATCAGGATTAGGTGCTCTGCTAGACTGGGTGAGCTTCTTTTTGGTTGGGACTCAGGAGGAGGGCTGGCGTTGTATTTAGTTGATTGGTAGCATTTGACTACTTAGTTGTTGTATAGGGTATTATTCCTTACTTCAATTATATATATTATGGGACTTTTTAGTTGTGTATTCTCATTATATATATAATTATTTAGTAGTGAGATTTTATTTTATACTTGTATCTGGATGCTATAGACAGTGTGAGACCTGGCGGGTCGTTACATCAACACTCTCGCTTATACTGGATATGATACGTTAACCCTTAGATCAAATGTACATAGACTTTGTTTTAGGACACCTTTAATTTCTCTCTATGAGTGTTCACTGTGCATACTTCGTGCATCTCTCAAATTTACCTTAATGCCATACAAGTAAATAGAAAAAGAAAAGAAAGGAATATATATGTTTTTTGCTAAAAAGGTTTATTAGAAATGATTTCTTTCAAAATGTTTCTTTAGAATAAGGGCTGGTTGAGGTAAGCTAGTGTCTAGGTTGATGAACAAACATATTTAAAATGAGAAAATCATTTTCCACGTTAGCTCATTATTTCCTTCAAAGTTAGGCGATGACTTGAGATTGCGTATTGATTAAATGATCTTCCCGAGTTGCCTTTTGGTTTTCAGCTTGA